ACGAACAGAGGCTGAAATCTTATTGTTGATGAAGCTGCTGGTAGGTGATAGATAGCCATTGATGTTCTACTGCGAAGAGAGGACGTCGGCGACAGTGTTTGCAAGTCACTAGTATCAATGGCGATGATCAATTATTTATTCTTTTTTTTTATATCAAAGAGTGACGAGTTGAAAGCTTCGGGGAGAGATGCCAGAAATGTTCGGCTGCGCGACTGAGAAGAAAACCCGGAGGGACGCAGGCGAAGATGGCTGCGGTTCGCCAGACATGATGGTGTTCCGCAAGAGATGATGGAAGAGATCGTGAACGAGAGATAGATGGGTGAAAGATGAGAGAAAAACGATTTACGTGCTTCAGATAAAACTTCAAAACCGATTCTTAAGTAGACGAGGGGAGGGAGAATTCCGCTATCTCGGTACGTGGGAGAGAGAGAGAGAGAGAGAGATTAAGATGGATGACCAATTAGTAGCAATTAAGTCCTAATTAATTGGTCAAAGGTGCTATATAATGGGAAATAAATAGCTGAATTTATGGAGTGGAGATGTTACAAAATTGATTTTCAAAAATTCCAACTAAAAGGCCATGCTTGCAAAGGACACGGGCCGGGCGGAATTTAGTACGGGCGTGGGCCTCGAGTCGCGCATTTGAGGTCCAATGATGTGGCATGCGTCCGAAAATAAATCTCCGATTAACACGTTGCTCGATTATCCAGTTCGATCAATATTTACTTCGGCTCTATTAAATAAATTACAAAGACAATAAGACAATTATTATCACGTAATCGAATAAAAATACTAATCAAAATAATCTCGAACAAAATACAATAAATAATAATAATTTCAAAACAATTCGGAACAAATAGGGAGCTACAATCTACCCACCTTAAAAGGAATTCCGACCTCAGAATTCGAAGACGAAAGAAACTAACGAACTAAAAGAATACACAAGCCTCCAAAACGAGAAGTTAGGGAATCTCCCCCTAATCTCAGCCTCCTACTCTCAAGTCGTCTCGGACTCGTCCTGTTAGCCCCACAGCACCTTCCCAATTCTTACTGCCCAGTTCCTCAGCCGATGGACACCTTGGTCCCAAAATGGCCACTGGTACCTCCTCATAGGTAAGGTCTCGCTCGACCCGCAGTTCGCCGAAGTCCACCACGTGGTTTGGGTCATGTACATATCTACGCAACATCGAGACATGAAACACCTCATGCACCCCTGACAAATCCGGTGGTAAAGCTAGCCGATAAGCCAAGTCACCGACTTGAGTTGGATCTAAAAGGACTAACCGCACACGACAGAGGATCCACATTTACCCCAAACCAAGGTATACCACAGCTCTAGCCATACGAAAGAGGAAACTCGAATGGTACCATCCAGATACACGTTCGATATACAAAAACACAAGACGTCCCACCCATGGTGAGAATCCGCAAAACTCAACACACAACATGCACACACGACCTCAACAGGTCTCATGGTGCCTCGACCGTGAGATCATCGGTCAAATAATCGTGGTCGAAACGTGGGCTGAGTTTCAGCATGGTGCCCGGGTCACGCCGAAAACTTACTCACAATCTCGACACACCCGTGACTTCTTGCCGAAGCGATTGTCATGATAATTGTGCAACCATGCACGCAGTATAGCCCTGCTATACTCAAACTCTAAACACAGATTTCACAACACAAACATAGCTACTTAGCTTCGTTCGATACTACAAAACTCCTTATTTTGCCAACTCGAGACACTCTCGCATTTGGCGTAGAAAATTCATCGACCAAACACATTTAATCCAAAAACATCGATCAAGGATGTAAACACGATACAGTGGAACTTGGGACTCTCGGTGGTCAAACCGTCCAATAATGCAACAGACGTTTGATGTGTAGCGTACTGTTATCCAAGAGGCGACACGCTCGCAGGCTCTACATATGCGGGGTGCCAGGACGCTTACATGCACCTGATTGGAGTCCAGTCACAAGGTTAAGGTCTGGCCGATCACTCTGGCCTGGGAGTTCCGTGTGTCCAGTATGGCAGCTGGAGCTTGCGTGTGAGTCTATGATCGACCGTGCACAAGCCTATCGTCTATCAGCACAGGCATACACGCTAGACCACCACCTCGTGGCTACCCTCAGTCAGGGTCGGTTTTTGGCTTAAGGTTTCAACAAGAAGTTCTATCCATGGTTTTTCTTCACACGAAGATTTCTGACTTGGGATTTCACATGGGTCAAAGCAAAAACAAGGGAAGGATTTTTTAATAAAGGTATAAAAATAGGTTTCATTCCAACAACCTTCTTGGTTTTATAGAAATTCAAGAATTTCAAGGTCTCAAAATAAACAGGCATAAAACCGAGTTCCAAGTTCACCACTGTATCTCAACAAACAAACAAACACGCCAACAATATACCCAAGGCTAGAGAAAAAAAAAATCTCAAGGGAAGTTCTGGTGCGGTCCTCCAGTAGGTATTAGAACTAAGTCAGCAACTTTGACTGAAATCGCTCTACAGCTAGCTCGCCTCGGCTCTTCCGACTAATAGCGTCGGCCGTCACGTCAACTCTTACTCCAGTAACTAATCGGCCAATAGTCTTGAACAAGCTCGGTTCATCTGCACTACCCAGAATTCACACCTCAAGGTCTCAGTGGAAAAACTCTTTTCATCGCAATGCCTCCGTTCACGCCTTCAGGTATTCTGCGACGCATCGACGTTCACCGACCAAGACGTTGTCTTCTGAAATACGAGTAGACAGTCCGTCGCTATTGCCATTCTGCTACTCATTATGAAATAGATCAGTATACGATTGCGGATTCTCTCTTCGGGTTCCAGAGTCCGTCTCAACACTTAGACTCCCTGATCTGCAGCTGGTGATAATTCAGGTCTTGAATCGTATCTCACGGATTTCGCAGTCGCCTTCAGCTGGTCGAACAGGTCTTCACTATAAGGTAACAGTTGATCCCCCTTTGTCGTCCGTTGGCTGGGTTTACGATCATCGATTTACAGCATTATGTGTCATGAAACTGATAGGATATCTCGGTGTTCAGGTTGGTTGTAACTCGCTTAGCTCATCTGATGGACTTCCTGGTTGCTCTTCCGAACTACTCCTTTTATGTTCCCAAATGGTTGGCGCGTCTCGGAAATGGATCGAGTTTGTTATCGACAAAGATGGAAAATAAATTGGTTCGAATGAATAGAGTACTCAACCACATATAAAGATCGAAACATGACACACAGAGAGCAAAACACTTGTTTGGAATGACACATCCAGATTGCGAAACATGAACTCAAAACCACCAATGAACAAAGAAAGTAAGGGCAAGGTTTTCATAGAATTGCACAAGTCCAAAGAATAAAAGATTACTCAAAAAAGAAAAATAAGAATGAGGCCTCTCAGAAATATGATGAAAACGATTCAAAAACAAAAGTGGTTCCACGCTATCAAAACGTACCTGCTCCAGGCTCGACTACCCTCCTTAAAAGATTCTTTATAATCCTTTAAGGAGTACACCTTCCTCGCAACCGTCAACGACTCCAGTTTTCAGGAAACAACCTTCAACGTGGCATACAAGTCTATCTCCATAGGATAGATGACCGTCATTGGTCTTCAGGTTAAAATACCACTGCGAATTACGACGATATCTGTAACTTCGAGTACACGGACTCGAGTGACTGCAAACAAGATCATAAACTTTGCAATGAATAAGGCCTAACAGAGACCGGGAAACTTGTCCTTATTCGTACACAAAGTCTCTAAGAAAGTTATCTCTAAACACGAAATTTTGCATAACATGTTAAAAGACAAAATACGGAAAATAGAAAATAAGAGACATTGATATAGGATATTATACCTGATATAGCCCTATTATCATCGCCTGATTCAAATGCTAATTACCCGACTGAACAGAGATCACTGATGACATCATTTATCCCTGAAGTCGACTTGGCCCATCGGCCATTCGAAGACCATCGATCCGATAACGGTCTCGAGGCAACTTTAGGAAGTCGACTGAGTATAAGACGACTTCTCTTAAGAAGACGAGCAGATACTCCAGGAGCCCCGGGTGCATATATAACCTTAGGTCGACTTGGCAAGGCCCCAAGTCGACTTACAAGACCTCCGACAACTTGATACACTTAGTTACAACATAGGGAGAATCTCCAAGTAAGACTAAGTTCACACAGGATAAGAAGGAATCTAGATGCTGACTCAGGAGTGGGCGGAATGCGAACCGACCAAGGCATTTTGGACACTTCGTTTAAGTCGGCCCGGGCATTTTAGGTACTTCAAGTAAGTGTTTCTACTCCTATATAAAATAGCTGAGGTAACTCCAAACCCTAACTTTTCATTTCTCTACTCATTTTCCAGCTGCTGCTCCTACTGAGCAGAGCTCATCTTCACCACTTCAACTGATTTGAGCGTCGGAGGCTCTTCACCGGAAACACTTCCGGTGTTGAGTTCTTGTAGGTGTTTGTAGCGGTTCAAGGACGATTTGGAGCTAATTCGAACAGATCGGAGCTCATTTCCACCGGTTCACTCCAGATCTAAGAGAAGAGCTTTGCACCTAGTTCCGATCTGTTTGACATGGTAGAGAAGGAGGGACTGTCGAGAAATCTAAACGAGGACTTCAGGGCAACGTGGACAGACAAACGGCCGCCGTCGATTCCTGACCCTAGACCACTACTCCAAGTGCTCGGTTTCCTACCGTTTGGAGGGCACGCGCCGTCGGGAGTGCGTATGGAGGAAGAAACACCCATCATACCATCTCGGGTAAAGATTCCAGGGCTAGCACAAGGAGGATCTAGCCAGACGAAGGCCACCGACACGGGAGTCGACAGGCATGAGCCGACCGAAATGACTTTGAGCTTGGGAAAGCAGTCTGGAATGTTGGAGCAAGGGGCAAGACCACCACCCCAGGTCGAGGAGCAAATGAGGACCATGACGAGGAGTGAGATGCAGAGAATGATTGCGGAGGCGGTGGCGGCCCAACTCAAGCAGGCGCATGTCGAGCCACCTAGGGTCGAGCAACCTAGGGTCGAGCAACCTAGGGTCGAGAAACATAGGGTCGAGCTACCACCCCGTGATCACGAGCAACATGCCCAGTCCAATGAGAGGCAGATTAGGAGGGTGGAGGAGAAAGCATCCTCCATCAGGACCACCAACCCGCAAGCGAGAGACGAGACACTGGAGCAGTTGCTGGCCCAAGTTCGCGATTTGCAGACCCGAGTCGAGGGAGGAAAAGTTGGAGGCTCAAGGGGACATCTGATCTCGCAGCACATTCTGGATGCCGACCTGCCGCAAGGTTTTCGCGATCTAAACATAAGTTATGATGGGTCGACCGATCTATCTCGTCATATGAGGAGTTTCAAGAATATGGCGGTTCTGCATCGTTATAATGACCCAGTGCAATGTCGAGCTTTCTTGACGACCTTGAGGGGATCTGCGCAAGATTGGTTTCATCAATTACCATCGGGAGCCATCAAGGACTTTTAGGGATTCAGTGCGAGCTTTCTTAATCAATTTGCAAGTGTCAAACCGCAAGAGAAATCGTATCTGACCTTGATGGGCATACAACAGAAAGAAGGCGAGTCACTGCGAGACTATGTGGCGAGATACACGCGAGCATGCATCAAGTGCCCAGTACGTCGGAGGAGATAAAGGCGGGAGGTTTGACTCGAGGGTTGTTACCGGGCTTATGCAGGAATTCTTTGGCAAAGCGCCCGGGTAGAACGTTCGATGAAGTATTGGGAAGATGTGCGAAGTACATGAATGTCAAGGAAGCAGAAGCCGACTTCTTGCAAATGGTTAAAGCGAGTAAAGATGACTCTCGGGATGAGATGAGGGAGAAGAAAAGTTCCTCGACTGGGGAAAGAAAGGGGTCCCCACGAGCAGAAAGAGATGGGCGATCTAGGTTTTGGAGGCCGACTCAATACACCCCTTTGTCGGCCCCTCAAGCGCGAATTTTGGAGGTGATGGAAAGGGAAATTCATGACAATATCGTCAGATGGCCCAAGACGAGGAAGGATGGACCAACGAGACCAAAAAGTAATCTATACTGCCGATTTCATAAGGATTATGGGCACAATACTGACGACTGCAGACATCTTAAGGACGGGATCGAGAGGCTGATTAAAGCAGGACACTTGAAGGAATTCATATACAAGGATCGAGAGAAGTCGAGCCGGAAGAGAGAAAGGAGCAGGAGCCCTTGCAAGAGGGCGAGAACGCCTGAGAATGAGGAGCTTCCTCAAAAAAAGGGAGTCATACATATGATATTCGGTGGATCGACTGATGGAGATTCGAATCGAGCAAGGAAGGCGTATGCTCGAGGACGCCATGGGAAAGTCAAGGTACAACAATTCGACAAGAATGGTCTAGTAATGAACTTTGGGCCAGCAGACGTGGGAGAGGTCGAGAGACCTCACAATGATGCGTTAATGATAATGGCCCAAGTATCAGGAAGTGAAGTGCAGAGAGTGTTTGTCGACACTGGGAGTTCAGTGAATGTGATATTCTATGATTGTCTCAAGAGGATGGAGCTAGACATACAACTCACACTTTTCCATACCTCGTTGTTTGGTTTCAATGGTTCAGAGGTCGCGCCCCTAGGGGAGACTATGCTCGATGTCGTCCTAGGGGAAGGCGACTTGCGAAAGGTAAAAATGGTAAGATTCGTGGTAGTCGATGTTGAGTCGGCTTACAATGTGATCCTGGGAAGGCCAGCGCTTAATGCATTTCAGGCTGTGGTGTCAACGTACCATATGAAGTTGAAATTCCCAGTCGGAGATCGAGTGGGAGAAGCTCGAGGCGATCAAAAGATGTCGAGGACTTGTTATCAAATCGCTGTGAAAACCAACCAACGGGCCGAAGTTAAAGAATAAAAGAAGCCAATGTCGAGCGAGAAGAGGCCAAGGAGTAGCGATCTTGAACCACACGGGGAGTTAATGGAAATATAAATTGGAGAAACGAAGGAACAGACCGCTAAGGTCGGGAAAGATCTGGAAGACGAGCTGCGAGACCAACTTATCGCATTGCTAAAGAAGTTCAGGTATATTTTTGCTTTTACCCCTGAGGAGTTGACGGGGATCGACCCCACCATTATGGAGCACAAACTCAACGTCGACCCCCTCAGAAAGCCAGTAAAATAGCGACTTAGACACCATGGTGGAGAAATCGAAAAAGCCATTGAGGTCGAGGGGGATAAGTAGCTGCAAGCGGGGCATGTCAAAGAAATACAATTCCCCGAGTGGATATCCAACACGGTGATGGTAAGGAAGGCACTAAACAAATGGCTCATGTGCATCGATTTTCGTGACTTGAACTTGGCGTGCCCCAAAGATCATTATCCCTTACCACGAATTGATCATCTATTCGACTCCACGGCTGGTTGCTAATTGCTAAGTATGATGGATGCATCTCAGGGATATCATCGGATTCCGTTGGCCCCTGAGGATCAGAGTAAGGTGAGTTTTGTGACGAGCAAAGGGACGTATTGCTATGTCATCATGCCCTTCGGACTTAAGAATGCAGGAGCAACCTACCAATGATTGATGGATCGTATGTTCAAATCTCAGATCGGACGAAATATTGAAGTATATGTGGACGATATCTTGGTAAAGTGTAAGTCCTCAACCTCACACCCAGACGAATTAAGAGAAACATTTAAAACCCTTAGGGCGTTTGGGATGAAATTGAACCCAAGCAAGTGTGCCTTTGGAGTAAAGGCAGGTCGATTTTTGGGATATATCGACACAGAGCGAGGAATTGAAGTAAAAAGGAAAAAGGTAAAAGCCATACTCGACATGGCCCCACCAAGAAATATAAGAGAGGTGCAAGTCTTGACGGGAAGGATTGCGGGACTAAGCAGGTTCATTGCTCGAGCTGCAGAGAAAAGCTTCCCATTCTTCAAATTGCTAAAAGAGAAGTCGACTTTCTTGTGGAGTGACGAGGCACAAATGGCCTTCGAGAAATTGAAATATTTCTTGGGCGAGCTACCTTTGTTGATAAAACCTGAGCCCAGTGACGAGTTGGTGCTATATATATCTGTGGGTTCGGTGTCATTAACTTCAGTGTTATTGCGAGAAGAAAGAGGTGTCCAATAGCCAATTTACTACACCAGTCGAGTTCTCCAAGGTGCAGAGACGAGATACTCTGAAGTCGAGAAAGCTGCCTTGACACTGGTGATAAAGGCTAGAAAATTATGGCCATACTTTTTGAATCATGTGGTAGCGGTGAGGACAAATTTCCAGTTGGGAGAAACACTGGGCCGACCTACGGTATCAGGTCGGCTCGTAAAGTGGGCGGTCGAGTTGAGCGAATACTCCGTCAAGTACGAGCCAAGACAAGCCATAAAGGACCAAGCCTTTGCAGATTTTATCCAAGAAGGCACCAATGGAGAAGAAAATAAATGGGTCATGCACGTCGATGGGTCCTCGGCGGCTAAAGGGTTTGGCCTTGGAGTCGTCCTCGTGTCACCCGAGGGCGAACAACTCGACTTTGCCATTAGAATGGGATTTAAGGCCTCAAATAACAAAGCATAATACGAAGCGCTAATCAAAGGAATCCAACTCGCAATCGGTGGCGGATCGATAGAAATTATGGCATATTCCGACTCACAACTGGTTGTTGGACAAGTATTGGGAAGTTGCGAGATCAAGGAAGATCAGATGATGAAATATGTCGAGGAAATCCAAAGCCTTGTTCAAGGCCTAGAGAAGTTTGAGCTAACACAAATCCCTCGAGAAGAAAACAAGCGAGAAGATTGGCTTGCGAGAATTGTGAGCTCGAATGATGGAAAGATGGGGAGTTCCATCACCACCATGCATTTGGAAGGAAGCGTGTTGGGCGAGACAATGGAAGTCGAGGAAAAGCATGATTGGAGGAAGTCGATTCACGAACTCCTACAAGGTCGAGTACCTATGGGGGATAAGCAGGAGGCAGAAAGGGTTGCTCGATACATAAACAAATATTTCGAAGTCGATGGCATCATGTTCAAAAAGTCTTTGGTTGGGCCCCACTTGTGATGCGTTTCTGAAGACGAAGGAACTCATGTCCTGAAAGAAATACATGAAGGATGTTGTGGAGCACATAGGGTCACGAGCTTTGACAGGCAAAGCCCAGCGAGCAGGGTACTACTGGCAAAAAATGCAAGCAATGGCAGAATAGCTGGTCCAGAAGTGCGAGAAATGTCAACGTCATGGCAAATCACTCATATTCCCGTCGAATACATGACGACCATCAATACCCCCAATCCCCTTCGTGCAATGGGAATCGACTTGGTAGGCCCATTGCCAACAGGGACAGGACAGAGAAAATTCTTAGTGGTCGCTGTCGACTATTTTAGCAAGTGGGTCGAAGCGGAACCATTGGCGAAAATCACAGAGGAGAAGATGATTCAATTCCTGTTTAACAACATCTGTTGTCATTTTGGAGTTCCGAAAGTGCTAATTTCTGATAATGGGACTCAATTCCAGGGAAAGCGAATTCAGGCATGGTGCCTCGACATGGGAATAAAACAAAGATTTGCCTTGGTCGCACACCCCCAGGCCAATGGCCAAGTCGAGGTGACTAATCGAACCATTCTCCAAGGGCTGGAAAAGAGGTTGGAGAAGGCATCAGGCGCTTGGGTCGACGAGTTGACAACAGTCCTGTGGGCTTATAAGACGACTCCAAGAAGTTCAACAGGTCAGTCGCCATTTCACGTGGTTTACGGAATGGATGCACTCTTGCCTATCGAAGTCGGCTTAGATTCTCATAGGTCGACATTCTACAAGGAGAAGAAGAACAAGGAAATGATTGAGGAAGCCCTCGACATGATAGAGGAAGGACGAGAGGAAGCTTGGATGCGATCCATGGAGTATAAGCAAAAAATGCGTGTTGCCTTCAACAAAAAAGTCCGAACCAGACGATTTCAGGTGGGCGATCTCGTCCTAAAATGAGCAGACGCTCTCAAACATGTCAGAAAACTCAAAGCTAACTGGGAAGGACCCTACACCATCACAAGGGTGCTCGAGAGAGGTGCGTAGGAACTCGAGGATGGCGAAGGACTACAGCTGCCGCGATCTTGGCATGTGATCCATCTCAAGTGCTTTTATGCTTAAGGCAATGTTTTAAAACTCTTTTGTACTGAACAATGCTTAGTCAAATTCAGTAATGCAATGAATATTCAAGTTTATGCTTCAATTGTGTTTTTTACATTTTCATGTCGATCTTATTATGATTTTTTGAAAAACCGAATTTTTCAAAACGGCTATGAAGCCGCCCAATTTCAACGACTACGATGCGTGAGACTTAGCTCGGGATCGATCAAGATGTCATGTCCTTCCACAGGTGTTAAATGGCACTTTATCTCATTATGCATCTCAACAGCTTATCTCTGCAGGCACCACACTTTTCCTCCGACTATTTCGCTTTAGATCAAGTCCCGTACCCGGGGAACCAACCCACCAATCCATGCCATTTCGTGAATAAAATTTGACCAATTTGACCCAAAACAACTACGAAGTTGTATCTCGAGTGGAATCTCGACTAAGCTACGAAGCGTACGACTACGAAGTCGACCCAAAACAACTACGAAGTTGTATCTCGAGTGGAATCTCGACTAAGCTACGAAGCTTACGACTACGAAGTCGACTCAAACAACTACGAAGTTGTATCTCGAGTGGAATCTCGACTAAGCTACGAAGCTTACGACTACGAAGTTGTATCTCGAGTGAAATCTCGACTAAGCTACAAAGCTTACGACTACGAAGTCGACTCAAACAACTACGAAGTTGTATCTCAAGTGGAATCTCGACTAAGCCATGAAACTTACGACTATGAAAATTGACTTAAAACTAATACGAACGATTACATCCCTACATTTTAGATGATCAGCTATGAAGCTGTTAAAAGTCGTTGCTTGACTTCGACCAGCTTGCAAGCCGGGTTGGGAGAGGACGAGTTGAAAAACTTTTTGTTTACCAACTATGAAGCTGTTAAAAGTCGTTGCTCGACTTCGACCAGCTCGCAAGCCGAGTTGGGAGAAGACGAGTTGAAAAACTTTTTGTTTACCAGCTATGAAGCTGTTAAAAGTCGTTGCTCGACTTCGACCAGCTCGCAAGCCGAGTTGGGAGAGAAGGAGTTGAAAAACTTTTTGTTTACCAGCTATGAAGCTG